GGCCCCAACCCTCCGCTGCCTCTGGGCCTTCCCCCGGGTCAAGGCCCTGGAGTGTCAACGTGGCAGCCACTGCTCTTCTCCAAATGGTTCCCCTCTGTCTGTGTGTGTATGTGTGTGTGTGTGTGTGTGTGTGCTCCCTCTCTGCCCTCTGAAGCCCTGTGGGGGCCCTTGTGCTCTCCCCCCCCCCAGGTGCGCATGGCCCTCCGGAACGCGGAGAAGGAGCTGGAGTCTCACAGCAGCTGGGCGGCCCCCGGGGCCCTTCAGAAGTGGCTGCAGCTGACCCACGAGGTGGAGGTCCAGTACTACAACGTCAAGAAGCACAGCGCGGAGAAGCAGCTGCTCCTGGCCAAGGAGGGGGTGAGTGCCCCGCTGGCCCCCTTGAGGTTCCCCTTTCAACATGCAGCAGCAGGGAGGGGGGTCTCCAACCTGGGAAACAGCCCTCTGATACACGGGGAGCCCCCAGCTGCCAACCACCACCGAGACCAGGATTTCTGTTATTAACCGAGGCGGTCGTTCTGTGAATCCCAGCTGATTTTGTAACTGGTTTTTTTTTGCCGTGGGTGTTAAGCGAATCATGCAGTCACTAAGTGAATCCAACTTGCCCGACTGACTTTGCTTGCTGGAAGCTGCCTGGGAAGGTCGCAAGGGGGGCGCGATCTTTGCAACGGCTGCATACGTGCCGGGTGCACCCAGACTTTGATCACGTGACTGGGGTGGTGCGGTGTTGGTTATAAGTGCGAGGACCAGGGCTCTTGCAACTTTCAATGGTCACTAAATGAATGGTTGTAAGTTGAGGACTATCTGCGTAGAGCGTAGGTGGGAGGGGATTCATTCAATAAAATGAAGAGACCCCTCAGCCTGGATGTTTTGTGTGGGAGAAAGAGGGCGAAGGCAGCTCCTCCTCACTACTTCCCAGAGTCTCTTGCAGACGCAGGTCGGAGAAGATTCTTTCCGCGGGTGGGGAAAACGAGGGGCTGGGAAGAATCGTTTGGGGTTCAGGGCAGGCAGTGGGGCTTGAACCTCTCCCAGGCTGGAAACTCCATTCCATTAAGGGTTTGACCTTGGGGGAGATGAGTGGGCGTGGCCAGGGCGGGGTTAAGGCCCTCCCGAGCCCCCGTTTTCCCTGGCAGAGGGGCTGCCGGAGGTTGGGAGAACCACATCCCCAAATCCACTCCCGCTGGCAGAGGCCCCCTGGGCCCTCCTTAAGGACTGGCAGGCCTTGAGTTTGACCACCCCCCCTGCTCTCAAGGGATCTCCTGGTGGCTTCCCTTCCTTAGCCAGAACCTTCTCCACTTTACTTTTCCATTTCTTGGCCGACGGGCAGAACCTCTGCAGGGGCTGGGAGCAGCTCTCCCACTGGGGGGTCAATGCGGAGGGGGTAGAGCCCAGAGCAGCTCCCCATTGCCACGTGATTGGGGGGGG